AATCTGAGCAAACTTCCAGGCATCAGGGAAAATAGACTGCACAATACATAAATTAAGCAAATGATGAAACAATGGTAAAAAAAAGTGTTTGAACTGGATCACAAACAAACAAACAAACAAACAAAAATTTAAATTTGGTTTTAAAAGCAAAGAGAAAATCACATTTTCCATCAGTTTTTATTCTGAATATTTACAGGAGTTGTAAAGACCTCGGGGCGTCTCTGATGGTTTCGTACACAAGATATTAAAAATAAGCTCCAAACATTTGAAACATCATCAAACACGAACCTGACAGAAAGAAAACACACAATAAAAAAGGAAGAAATTTGATATAAAAATCAGTTTTTTAGATCTCTGAGGAAGCTGATTTCTCTTATTTGTGTTTAAAGTAAACATAATAATCAGATATCTTTACAATGTAAACTACTATTTTGGAAAATAACTGACATTTGTCAAAAAGAGCAGTGAAAATTAGCTTTAATGCTAAATCAGACACTTTCTGATCAGACCCCTGAAAACAAACTGATCAAGCTAATAATCATTTACCAAATGAAAAATAAATGAATTTTTAGTTTTCAAGCTGCGACTTCGTCATGTTAAATGATTTTTACCTACAAATGTACAAAACATTGTGACCGAACAGCTGCAAAGGAAATATTCCTCACTTCTTCAGTGAATAAAACAATTATTTATGCGGTTAATTTAAACCTTCAGGTTTAACTGTGACGCAGAAAACTCAGGTTATTTGGAAAATTCAGTAAAACTCGGAGCTGTTTGCAAACAGGAAGTAGAATTTTGAGAGCAGTAAACAATAAAACCTCAGATCTTCATGTACAAAGATTCATAAAAAACTACCTTTTTTTTTAGAAAATCAGTGTGCAAAACGTGCACACACCTGTTCTCTGCTCTGCACCAACAAATGTAATAAATAGTTTCAAAAATTTAATTTACATCATGACTAATTTTATTGTTTAGGATTGAAATTAATTTGATTGTGAAACAGAACTTTTTGTAATAAATAAATCGATTTGATTAAGTTTGTCGACAGCAGAAATTTAAAATGAGCTCAGAAAATCAGATTTTAGAGACAAAAAGAGAAAAATTTCATTTTAAAGATTATATTTGTGAAAACATGAAGCTTAAAGACAATGAAGTTTTTGAAATTTATCTTTTTTTGCTCTAATTCTCAAAGGAAAACATGCGTCTCAAACTGTGCCACCAACAACACGGTCTTTATGCCCCTTTTCCACTCGTGTCCCTACAGCACGGTTCGGTTCGGCTCAGCTCTGTTCAGCACGGTTCAGTTCGGCTCAGGTCACAGGACACAAGCTAGACAACGTCTGAGGGTAAGCTAATGCTAATCTGCTAGTGGGCGATACAAAAGTAGCCGAGCGTAAAAGTGTGTAATGTTGAAAAGAAATCCCACAGAGCTGTCATCACAGAAACAGCTTCAAGCAGCTGAAGATCTGAAAACATTCACTTTAACTTTGCTCTTAAATCAGTTTTTTTTTTTTTTGTTTTACTGGATTCATAACAATAATTTTTGGTCCCCATGAACCTTTACAAGTTGTAATATAATTTCAGTGGCATCACTTTGGTAATTATGAATTGTTAAGCTATTGTTTATCGGACACAACCAGTGACTCCACCCCCCGACCAATCAAAGACCAACAGTGATCTGACGTCACGTTTTCAGTCCGGTACCGTCAGAAACTCGACGGAGTTGGTACTAAAATGAGGTCTGGCTCCGTGAATCTTGATCAACGTAAAAGGATTGGCAGATAAGCCGAGCCGAG